CGCCAAAGCTTGTGCGTTACTTACGTCCACGACTACGACTGTCATATGTGCTTTGGCCCTTACCCAGGTTGAATTTCTGAACGCAGCCCTGATGTTTCTCGAGCTTGTCTTTTATTTTACCTTCGAAGTTTTCACAAATTGTAAAAAAAACCAAATAAGTATTATGTTTACAAACTAATCTTTCTTTTGTTATTTGAAAGGAGAAGATTAAAAAACAAAAATTTCAACCGGACATTTATATTTTAATTAAAAGTGAGAGAATTTCGTAGCAACCTGACGAATTTATCTAAAGACCCTACAGCTGTTTCTCGAGCGTATTCTGCTGCATGTGCGGCGTATCATATTTTAAGACGTATTTATTGATGTAAAGAAGGTGAATTTTTAGCATAGCGCATGGATAGCGACATTGGTGCAACAGCAGCATCAAACGCTCGACGGTAATCACCATCAGGGTCAGAAGGAGCAGGACAACGTGAATGGTACTATTGAGTCTGCTGAGGGTCATGCGGTCGACAGGTTTCGCGGCGAGGCTCAATGTTCGGTGAAGGAAATCGCGGTCGTAGCTCCGGACAATGATAGCGTTAGAGATTCCTCTACACAGTGCAGTGACGTTATAGACGACGACAATGAAGAAGAGGAGACGGATGTCGAGGAAAGCGGCGCCGGCGGCTGGATCATGAATCCGCCGGTATCGACCATCGTTCAGCAGCATCAAGCGTTCGATACCGGAAATGGTTACATCGCCCTTCCAAATTCCGATTCGTCGAATTTCGGTGACGTTCGCGTGAAGGATTCGAGCAATGTGCATCTGGGTAATGAGGTCAACTACCATGGTCCGGTTACCATTCATGTAAACCAATTCGTTAACACGAATCCTACTCCGAATCAGGATGCGATTGAACTTGACGTTATCAACGCCTCCGACAATATCGCGGATTCGTCGACGAGTCAGGACAACGAAATTCCAAATGCATCAATTTTTCCACAAAATACTGAATTAAATAAAGGTAATAGTCAATCGTGCAATGCAATAGATTGTTTAGGCCCGTTTCTTTTAGTTTTTCTATATTTAATTCTTTCTTTCCGTAAGTACACTGCAGGTATGTTTAAGCACAAAGTCGCCGAATGATTAAAAAGGACAGATCTCTCATAAGTTTCTGGATTATAGAATAACAACAGAATAAAGTTTTATATAAGAAATTATAAATCGCGACTCACTAAATTGAATTATAATGCAAATATGCTAAATATGTTATAAACTGTTATAAATGTCATCGGAACGAGAAATTACTCTAATATCTTTCCTCTGCATAAGAGAAAATATACTTTTAAGCTTACAATTTGAGAAAGCGTGTGTAATAAATATCTTGAGTATCTAAATATTATATATTAGGACGAATCAATATTCGTCCTAAAAATTTTAAATATATATATTAAAAGGTAATTATAATTATGCATATATTAAGACCCCACTCGCCAATGACCTTGACCTTGACATATGTTGTCAAGGTCACTTTCCTGAGTGACCTTCAGAAGTTTTTAGCCGGCGGTCGTTATTTGTTAAGAAGTTATTAACAAAAAAAGTTTGAAAAATATAGCAGCTATTTTGAGTATTGGAAAGCATAAACGACTAATATTACGTTTCTTTTTTTAAAGCAGAGAATGCTTTATGCAGCGACTTCTCGCGAAATAAAGTATTCTCTGCTTTAACAAAAAATCTTCAATTTATCAACAATTTACTGCTTTAAATGTTGTGTTTTGATAAAGTAGCAAGTTTCACGCGAAACGAGATATTCTCTACTTAAAAAAAAGACGTAATAGTGGTCGTTTATGCCTCTCAATACTCAAAATAGCTGCTATATTTTCGAAACTTTTTTTGTTAATAACTTTTTAACGAATAACGACCGCCGGCTAAAAACTTCTGAAGGTCACTCAGGAGGGTGACCTTGAGAACATATGTCAAGGTCAAGGTCATTGGCGGGTGGGGTCTTAATATGCATAATTACCGAATCAAATTCTCTTCTCTACGTTTTACATTTAAGCATTTTCGACAATTTGTGTTGCGTACATATTTAGCCAGAAATGTTTAGTCGATTAGACGTCAATCTAATATCGATACATTAATAAATAGTTGATGTCCAAAACTTTATTTGAGTCGCAAAAAATACCTTTAGTATATGCCTTTTTATCTAGAAGGAACTATTTACAATCTTTGATCGTTTAAATCTGGGTTGCCGCCACTTATTAGTTAGTGTGGCCTCGAAGGGTTAAAACTATATTCCGGAATAGTTATTGTAATAGGACCATTAATTAAAGTAGTTAATGATATTTGTGATATTATTGGCTGTTCTTCCGAAAATGTTTATGCTCTAAACCAGAGCATGAACATTTTGACTAATGGTCCTGTCAAAACTATTCCAGAATTTAGTTTGAACCCTTCGAGGCCACACTAGGTAGCGGCAACACAGACAAAAATTCAAACCCAATATTTTTAAGATAGGTTTCATAATCAGTGTCCCTCCAGGATCTCTAGTTTGAGTTCTTCTCTCAAAGATCCGTACAGTAGAAAGGCTTTAAGCCATGTCAGTTATGCTTAATAAACATTTTAAAATTATTTATGGGTGGTGACCACCCAGGTGTGGCTTCGGTGTATATTTCTTATTGCAATCGAAAATTACAATATTTTTGTTTATCGAGCACTTTTCGGATTCTGCATTGCACTATATACATATTTTTGAACAACACCCTTAAAATGTTGTATGAATTTTTACGTGCACATTAATGAGAATTATGAGACTGAATTCGTCTAGGTGTCGACCACCCAGTGTGGCCGGGACGTATTAAAAAAAGAGGTGTAACCTCGGAGGGTTAATATCGACGATATTTCAAATTGAAAATTGTTAAATGTTACACATTAGCTGCGCCACTAGAATTAAAACTAAATATAAAAAAGCTATTTTTATCTTACAGTATATATATATGTGTCACGCTATCTGGCATAGATTGGCGAAATATTGCATGCCGCAAATATATGTTTACTCGATTGTGAACAGACTGGCAAAAAGTGACATCAAACAAGAATTTTAATGCTTTACGCGAGGGGCTTTATGTAATTATAATATTCCTTTCGTACATAGTGCTACCCGTTATAATAATTGCGAATAAATTTCATCAAACAATATTAAGTAGCTCGTAAAACTATCGTTCTAATATAGCTTTTTATAATTATTTTAGTGACGCAATGGCTCTGGACGTGGAAATCTCATACGGTTTTATCGTGCGTTCTAGTTTTAATACTTCTGGGTATTATAGTGTTCATAACTGTATATTTCACTCGTCATCCGGACGCACCGACCACACCGACTACACCATCCATACCACCCACACCAACCACAACGGTTTCTTGGGAAATTCCAGACTCATCTACCGAGCAGGGTAAGTGCCCATTTAGAAAATTTTTGTTTTGCAAGCGCGACACGAGGCAAATGTTATCTTATCGCAATTGCAAACTTAAAATTTGTCTCCTATTATATATTTGTATTTATTCGTCTACTTAAAAGCATGTCTTTTTTTACTTTCCACGAGTCATATAATATATTTTAAAACTTTTTGCATTCGCATATATAAGAGTAATATTCTAGATTTTAATGTTAAAATTGACATTGCGTTTAATTGATATTGACAAATTCGATGTTAAATTAAGGAGTTTTTAACTATAAATTTGTCTCTGGATGGTATATCTTGAACTTTTTGTACGATATGTATCTTATTTTCATGACTTGCAGGTAATAACGGGACAGAGTTTCGCATTGTCGAGAGGGACGAATGGGGTGTACGGCCGCCTTTGGTATCTCTAAAAGAAATGAAGCTGCCAGTATCATATGTAATTATTTGTCACACTGCGTGGACATTCTGTACCACGCTACCAGAGTGTGCACACATAGTGAGATTTGTGCAGGATTATTACATGGAAAATGATATAGCGGATATCATCTACAATTTCCTCG